TGTCGCCCCGTGGGTGTCGTAAGAGGCGCGACTAAGGGAAACAGAAGCAGTAGCAGCTCTTGGATAACTCAATATAATAAAAAATGTGGTGGCCAACTCGTCTATCTAGTGTGGCAACTATGGCAAATATCCTCAATATGGGGCAAATTATGGTGGAAACCTTTGTTCAGCAGTGGACTTTTGATAGGCTGCAACGGATTGCCATTCAAATTATTTAAAAAAAATCGTGTCACGGTGACTATCAATAATTTTGTGCCAACCAACTAGGCAACCGAGATAATATTATTTCGTATCTCCAAGCAATGACGTGAAATAAAATCGGTATTACCATATGTTACGAACACTCGCTCAACTTTATCGCGTACTGATAAACACTATTTTTAAATAAATGATCACAGCTGTATCTCAAGTTTTGATACTTCAATTTATAACAGGAATTTTGATAATTGATAGTTGATACTATAAATCATAGCGAATCCCAGGATTTTCGCGACTGTTGCGCGACTATTGGTCATCTATATACTTAGATATTGAGTTTTTATGAAATCATTTCAAAAAATTGAGGTTTTTAGAAATTATTTCAAAAACCTCAATTTTTGAGATGAAAAAAAAACGTAATGAAAAAAAAAAACGGACAAAAACTACAAAATTATACTTACATATCTTTCTTTCAATTGAGAAATATATATTTTTTTTATATAGGATAGGGTGACAAACGGGCACCCAGTCCACCTGATGGTAAGTGGTTGCCGTGACCCATAGACATCTACATCTATCCTCGATTACGAATCAAAATGCAGATGCGTTGTCACCCATGAGGAATAAGATGAAATGCCTCGTTTCCATTAAAAAGGGTCTTCGGTTCTCTACACTCACCATACGAAACACAGTGTTAAGCTACTATTTTACGCTGGTATTCTGTGAGAGCGTGACCCTTCCCCGGTCGAGCCGACCCATTCGTGCTACAACTATACTATTTAATATAGCTGCAGCATGGCTCTACCACGATATATACTTATTATACCCTTGGTTTGAAAATAAATATTGGTCTTTCTCCTCACAATAAGCAGAAATCGCGCTTATGACATCATCTGTACTCTAAAAAATTCCCGTAATCACTTAAAATAACTGTAATCATCGTAGAGTATAAGAATGTACGAGTATAGCGGTCTTCCCTGACACCGATTTAATGGAAGATAGCGTATTATCTAAGACACATTAAACGGCACGCGTCGATAAACATATACGTTGACAGGATCACCTTTTGTCGGTCATGCTGAGTTCTTTATTGTCACAACAGATAATATAAATGATCACAGATTAACTGATAGTTACTTCGTAAACTGCATCCAAATACCTTCACAAATCTGACATGTTTTTTCTAACGAATTCCAAAAGGAGGCGGTACTCATTCGACTGTATGTTTTTTTTAATTTGTGTTAACTAATTTTTTTCTGGGTGAACCGATTTTGATGATTCTTTTTTTATTTGAAAGCTGGTGCTTCACAGCTGGTCCCATATGAATTTGATCAAGATCTGACCAATAGTTTTTGAGTTATCCTTAATAATTTATATTAAAGTCGGCCGTACTAAATTTTAAATTTTTTATTATTTATTGTAACATTACTTTGTGTGTATATAAATAGTTAAGTAAAATAAATAAATAAATTAGAGTCCACCTGATTGTGAATGGGTACTGTGGTCCATAGACATCTACATCTATCCTCGGTTAAGAATCAAATTCAAATGTGTTGTCTAGGTTGGAATGCCTCATTACCAGTAAAAAGGATCTCCGGTTCTCTACACTAACCATATAAAACACAACAGCATTAAGCTCCTATATTACGGATTCTGCGAGCGCGTGGTCCTTCCCCGGTCGAACCGATCAAAGCGTGCACAATATAGCTGTAACATGGTTCTGCCAAGTACAGCACTTTTATATCGCTTTGAAGCAAAATGTTCATTTGTGTAAGTAATAAATACATTTACCAGAATTCGTTCTCATGCAGATAAGATATACAATTAAACAGTTAATAGGTAAGAAAGTAGAAGCCACTTGATATTGTGTTGTGTGCGATATATTTTATGGAATTTTATCTGGGCTCAGGACGACCAATAGTTTCGCTATAATAAGTTATGATTATAATAACTTTTATAGAGCGATGAGTAAAGAATGTCTGAAACCAATTATTATTTCATTTATATGAAAAGAAAAGAAAGAATTACGTGGTACCTATTACGTGGTCCTATTACGTGGACCTATTACGTGGTAGAGCCATGCTGCAGCTATATTATGGTTGTAGCACGAATGGGTCGGCTCGACCGGGGAAGGACCACGCTCTCACAGAAAACCAGCGTAAAATAGCAGTTTAATGCTGCTGTGTTTCGTATGGTGAGTGTAGAGAACCGGAGACCCTTTTTACTGGCAAAGAGGCATTTCATCTTAATCCTCACGGGTGACAACGCATCTGCATCTTGAGTCTTTATTGAGGATAGATGTAGATGTCTATGGGTCACAGTAACCGCTTACCATCAGGTGGACTGTGTGCTAGTTTGTCACCCGATCCTATAAAAAAAAATGTGATGAAGTAACCGAAATAAATGTTGAGACTGGAAATAAACCAAATATTAAAGTGTAGACGAAAAATTGTACAAAATCAAATACGACTGCAATCCGTCAACGTACACATTGATAGACCTTTGACTTATTTATTGTTATCTAATCCGTTTTAAAAGAACTCGTACGTAAGCTTGAGTTTGAAGCAAAATTTTAAAGCAAAATTAAATATTGAACATGTGTTGAGCAAATACATTTACAAGGGAGCATAGAGTCCAACTGATGGTAAGTGGTTTCTGTGGTCCAAACACATCTACATCTATTCTCAGTTAAGAATCAAAATGCAGATGCGTTTTCGCCCCTGAAGATTATGATGGGATGTCTTGTCTCCAGTAAAAAGGGGTCTCCGGTTCTCAACACTCACCATACGAAACACAGCAACAATACGCTGCTATTTTACGTTGGCACTCTGTGAAAGCGTGGTCCTTCCCCGATCGAGCCGACCCATTCGTGCTACAACCATAACATAGCTGCAGCGCGGCTCTGCCACGAAGAAATATGATCCACCACAAAATACCACCTAGCTTATGATCTATATATATATATATATATATAAGTTGTATGATAAAGTCAGGAGGAAATTAGACCGTAGAGTTATCAACGTGAGGTCAGACGACGTATGTATGCGTACAAATTCAATGCCACTCCTTATTTGAATGGGTGACGTCATCGGTTTACTTTCCTGCTTACGTCATAGATTTGAACTCGCCAGCTATTTTGAATATGACATTAATTAAGAATGCGTATTTATTGTACGCAACTTTAAAATAAACTTTCCTAGCTTTGGTATGGTGAGTGTAGAGAAATGGAGACCCTTTTTACTGGAAATGAGGCATTCCATCTTGTCCTCAGGAGTGATAACGCATTCTGTATATTGATTCTTAATCGAGGGTAGATGTACGGGTCTATGGGCCACACCATTCATTTACCATCAGGAAAAATGTGTGTCCTCGGACAGAGTGTTCAACCATACTGCTGAATCTGCAAGATCCATTAACTCCATTATGCTGCTGTTTTACTCTGGTATTCTGTGGGAGAGTGCCACTACCCTATATTATCCCGTGAGTTTTTTTTTATAGGATAAGGGTGACAAACGAGCACACAGTCCACCAGATGGTAAATGGTTGCTGCGGCCCATAGACATCTACATCTACCTTCTATTACAAATCAAAATGTAGATGCGTTGTCACCCGTGAGGACTAAGATGGAATGCCTCATTTCCAGTAAAAAGGGCCTCCGGCCACCTGCACTCACCAAGCAAAACGCAGAGGTAAACCTCTACTTCACGCTAGTTTTCTCTGAGGTCGTGGTACCACCCCGGTTCGAGCCGGCCCATCCGTGCGACAGCAAAAGCTGCCGCGTGGCTCTACCACTGTTAAATGAGTTCCTTAATTGGTGACAGAGGGAAATAAAACAGGAAATGGGCCGTAGCATCTTACTGATAACGACTCAAAATAATGATAAAGATGGGGTTGCCAACCTGCCTGCCATGTGTGGTATTCCCACTTTGATGCAATCTATGGCGCAGGCTTACGTTCAGCAGTGGACTGTTAGGCCGTCCACATATATACGCAATTCCGTTTCGGGATTCCGAACGCAGCAATTTTATATAAAATCAAGGTCCCGTCACACACGTACAATAGTTTTCTTTTCGAAGTTTTGCGGCCAAAACGGGATTCCGAATGTGCGTGGCCGACCAGTTTCAAATTCCGAAACGGAATCCCGAAAGGGAATTCCGAATGTATGTGGCGGGCCTTAGACTTCTAGCAATGATGATTGTGGCGGCTCTGTCGTCGCGCCACAAGCGAAACATACCGAATCCTAAATCGCGCTATCAAAGTTCTGAAGTTACTGCGCTATATATAAAACAGCTCCGAAATTATACACGGGGCATTAGCTGCTCCCCGGGCTGAATAACTTTGCCCGGCGGGAGATCTCATCAAATATCGTGGTCACTTATTAATATATTGAATACTGGCGACCCACCGCATCTTCGCCTGTGTAGAAAAGGATTATTTAGATTTGACATATTTAAATACCATTTATTTTATCAATTTTTCGTTTTTCGTAGAAGTTTTTCAGAAAAATAAAGTCTCGATCATTCCTGGCATAGCTCTCGATCTGTTTGTGAAGTTTCATCACAATGGGTTAGGCCATTTCGCAGAATAGCCCCGACAGACAGACAAAAATTTTAAAATTCATGTTTTAATAACTTGCAAATAACCCCCTGAACCTATAAGAAGCCAGTTATGTCAATATTACAGACATACACTACAATTATATTATACGAGTATGTATGGATGTGAATACTTTACATTAAACACTAGCCTAATTTTAATGCAGAATAGTCTAAGGTACTTAAAACTCAATATCTTTGTTCCAGGCATGTACACGATGCGTATGTTGGACGGGGCACCTCACATTCCGCCCCACAATCACACCCATATGGCGATGACGGCCGGTAAGATGTTGTTCTCTCTATAGGTTACTAAAGTTACAGTCTAAAGTTATAATCTAACATAACATTACACATGAACACCCCATACTATACATAAATACATCATTCAACTCTCTAACTCACACACCCACACGTACAAATTTACATACCCACACTTGTTAATACATACACCATGAAATGTTAATAATTTGTTTTGTGTACAATAATTTAACAAATACTTAATCTTTAGTCTAAAATGAAATTGTTTTGGAAAAGCGGAGCTCGTACCGGAGTGGTATTACGACCTCACAGAATACCAGCGTGAAGTAGAGGTTTACCTCTGCGTTTCGCTTGGTGAGTGCAGATGGCCGGAGGCCCTTTTTACTGGAAATGAGGCATTCCATCTTAGTCCTCACGGGTGACAACGCATCTGCATTTTGATTTGTAATAGGGGATAGATGTAGATGTCTATGGGCCGCAGCAACCACTTACCATCAGGTGGACTGTGTGCTCGTTTGTCACCCTTATCCTATAAAAAAAAATCCTATAACAAGCAAAGCATTTGTTTAAAAGAATGTTCCAACCACAATATACTGTAAAAACTTATCTAACTTATGGACTAAAGAATTTTGAATTTTGTGAATATATCTAGATCTCACTGCTGGATAAGTACCTCCTCTCATTTACGTGCCCCCTTGCCGTTTGGCACATGCTAAATCATCGGCACATAAAATAGGAATTAACAATTTCATTTGTGTCTGCTTGAATCGAATACAGGTTGCCCGCGTACGAGTTTCGCGGCAAGCGCTCAGTCCCTGAGCTACCACGGTTCAAATTCATCATTATCATAAGCATTACAGCCTTTCACAAGTCTACTGCTGAACATAGGCCTCCCCCAAGGAACGCTACAAAGCACAGTCCTGAGCCATCTGCATCCATCAACTTCCTGCATGTCTTACCAGGTCGTCACTCCCCTTCTCTTACCGGTACGAGGTTGCCAGTAAAATTAACTGTATCAAGTTTTTTAGGCTCCAGTACTCGAATAATTAGTTTCTCCATCGTTTGATGATGTACGTCTAAAATAAGAATTATATTAACTTGTCTCTTTTTAATATAAGTTCGTACAAAAACAAAACATTAAAAAATAAAATATTTAATATGAAATAAAAGCCGACAATAGTGCAAGCGATAAGTAATCGAAGCGAAGATAAATTTTTATTGAATAAAGGTGACCAGTGAGCACACAGTCCACATGGTAAGTTGATGCTTTGGTCCATAGACATCTGCTAGATTAAGAAAACCTCGTTAACAGTAATATTGCATTATGCTGCTATTTTACGCTGGTATTCAAACTGATTCATTCTTACTGTACAGTATGGGAACAATATTCAAACTTTTAGGATTACATATTTATTCAGCAATTTCCCGAATATTGTACATATTTGAAAAATTTGCAGTGCAATGGAGTAAAAACTATCTGTTATTAACTTCCTTCTGCGTAGCATTGAAAGGAAGTTAATGGTTTTAGCTGGCAGTCTGTTAGTCTGTATGCCGACACGATAACTTCCGCTCCACTGGACCGATTGACTTTAAATTTGGTATGTGGACCTTGTACCTTGAGGTAGTAGCTCGGTCGAGTTTGAATTTGGGTCCTGTAGGTCAAAGGGCACCAGAGATATGGGATTCACGCAGAAGGAAGTTGTTTTTCTTGAATTTACATTCAACTCGTTATTTTTAGAACGCGACTCTGCTTCGGATAGTGCTGTGTCCTCTATGGGATCGGAGAGAGTGCCTTCTCTCTCTGATGGTGAATGGTGCGATGGAAACGACTCCGCTCAGGAGTTCCACAGGTTAGTAAAAGTGTGAATTTAGTGGCTCCGTTAAGGAGTCTTTACGAGCGTAAGTCAGTGTTATGTGTCAGAAGTCATAAGATCTTTCTGGAACATGCCAGGAAAAAATCGATAGATGGCGCTATAACGATACTACTCGCTTCTGCTACTCCGATCGTCTATCCGGAGTCTACGACCGTAATATATTTCTGATGTGTCGGAAGTAGCTATGCCGGCCGTGTAGTGGCAGTGTAAGAATATCCACTACCCCATTTCGTCCCGTGGGTGTCATAAGAGGCTACAGAAGGAAACTGAACCAGCAGATAGGCAGCAGCATATCTACCTGATAATAATTCAAAATAATAAATAACTGAAACTTCAAACAGCCCACCTGATGATAAGTGAATGCTGTGGCCCATAGATATCTACACATCTGCTAGATTGATTCAATTCCTCGCAACAGATGCGTGATGGAATGCCTCGCATCCAGTAACAAGAGTCTCCGGTTCTCTACACTCACCATACAAAACACAGCAGCATTGAACTGCTATTTTATGGTGGTATTCTGTGAGAGCGTGGTCCTTCCCCGGCCGAGCCGACCCATTCGTGCTACAACTATAACATAGCTGCAGCATGAATCTTTTTTTTGTTGATTTAAAAAACGTTACCCCCACACTAGGATTTTCTCCTGTATTATGGAGGCAGTTAAGAAACTTAAATTGCACAAGGACAAACATCCAGACCCGGAACAATTATTTGTAGGCCATACAAATACTTGTTCCGTGCGGGATTCGAATCCGCGCCCCCCAGCGCAGCAATTCATTGCTAAGCCACTGCGCCACGGAGCCGGCTACAACGTATATTTAATATGTTTGTCTTTCTAGTTCCAAATTCCGACCTTACGATGGCGCTTACGCTAGAGAAAGAGCCCCGCATCCCCCGCAGAAGAAACATCATATGTTCGGAAAGAGATGCTTCCAGGTATGTATGCTACATATATGGATTTACAATTATTCCTAACTCATTTAGTCGTATGGGTGTTTCAATCTCGATTAAATGAAATTCCCGAAAATTTACTAGGTTGTCAACGTTATCATTGTCAGCACCCTCGCAGGAGTGAGACGATATTCCATCCAGTACAGCCTATCAGAAGTCCACTACTGAATATAGGCCTTGCCTATGCCTATTTTTTTTGTTGCTGCTGCCCATCTCCTATTTCAGTTGCCCTCTGTCATCAACAGCACTCTCTCAGAAATGAGACGAGGTTCCATGCATTACAGCGTATCCAAGAGTCCACTGCTGAACATAGACGTTCGCTATAGATTGTCTCATAGGGGGGATATTAGCCATAACTGCCGCATTTGGCATGGTGAACAACCGCAGTGTTATTTGTGTTGCTGCTGCCAATCTTCTATTTCAGTTTTGCATCTGGCGCCTCTTACGACACCCACGGTATTATATGAGTTAATGGATTTTTTTAGCTGCCACTACACGGCGAGAGTCGAGAGACAAGTTTGTTGCCCAACATTGGAATGTAACTGCTTGCCCTGCGGAACAGAAGGACAAACTTAACGCTTCAGATGACCCTGACACTTGCTCTCTGCACCCTTCATTTGATATCCAGAGAAATAGACTTGTTTTGTTGTCACCTGGATAAGTTCACAAAGCTAGCGTTATGTACCTAATTTAAAAAGTTAAATGCCTGTTATATAGCATATAGAATAGTTACACTATTTTATTAGGATAACCTGTAGAAATAATGTGTTAAAATAAATTAATATTATTAACTGTTGCTGTAATTAACAGTTAAATGTAATGTGACATATTTTTCCAGGAACAACCAGCACCTACGATGGAACCCCTCCCTAGAGCCCCCGGCGTAGTAAAATACGAATGCACAGAGCAGACCTACCACCACGATGCCTTGCATATGCACAACGGTATGTAACGATACTGGCTACGGATATTGTTAAAAAATACATTTGACATTGTATTAAGTTTGTTATACCATATGAATTAAATTTATTATAAGTTGTAAACAAAGTTGTAAGCTGGCATTAAAAATTTCAAAAGTTTCTTTCCCGCATCTAAGCCACTCGATAACCTATCCTTGTTGCAACTACACGGTCGGCCCATTGCCACTTCAGCTTATTGATGTTTTGGCCTAGCCTTTTAGGATATAGATATTCATAACCGATAGATGCGTGTATTTGATGATAATAATGTTTAGACGCTATGGGATTGTGTCGTAGGAACATCTATAATGCCATTTTTCCCATGAGTATCGTAGGAAGCGACCATGGAAAAGGTCAGGAGGAACTCATGGCCTCTGTAAATGATGATATACCATCTTGTAGATGCTAAATCTATTATGACAACGAGTAGGAGCGTCAAGGTTGCGTGATATCTGGAATTCCAATCGCCTACACATCTGCCAAGAGTGGCGATTTAGGCAGACTGTTCCTACAATATAAGGGGTCGGTGTTCACCAGTTAACTGTGACGGGCTCATATAAAAGAACAACGTGTAGTATACATAGACATATGTAGCATCAATACACGCATAATATACATTTGGAAGTAAATAAGACATAAAAAACATACAAGGTACAAGAAGGAAAACATAAATAAACAAATGGTAAAATTAAAAAAATTCTACAACCGACTTCGATATAAATAAAATGAGAACATCATCAATGTAGTCAAAAAAAAGTCAATTAAATACGCATTATTAAGGATAACTCAAAAACGACTGGTTAGATTTTGAACAAAATTATATGGTACTACGTGAGAAGCACCAGCACCATCAAATAAAAAAAGAATATCAAAATCGGTTCACCTAGAAAATAGTTCTGAGGTAACACACATAAAAACACAGTTGAATTGAGAACCTTCTCCTTTTTTGAAGTCGGTTGAAAATAACAATAACATGATATGAAGATAACATGATGTCTGAATTTAGTTGGGATTTTTTGAAAAATGCTTAGTGCATTTATAAGCCCAAATAGACATTCCTTGTATAAGTCGATAACTAAATTGAGTACCTTACGTTATAATCAATACACAACATAGTTTGAATTTGCTGCTTTTAATAGTGTTTTGAAAGTTCGTCAGTTTTCTATTTTAGATGAATTAGATTTGATTTCTGCAGGTGGCTCAGGACCGTGCTTTGTGGCATTCTTTGGGGGAGGCCTATGTTCAGCAGTGGACTTGTGAAGGGCTGTAATGATGATGATGATGAGATTTCTGACCTTTGAATTCTGCCACCCAGGCCTCGTGGGCCTAAGCCTAAACCCACTGCTAAAAAATCTATGGATTAGATATTTCTGATAATGAAATACACTTATATATTTATATCAAAATTTATTTGAATTTTATCTTGTTATAGTGGACTATAACGCTCGCCACCAGATAGCGCCACCTCACGTACCGACTCTGCAGCCTGCCTTGGACCTGAACACTGCACACTCCAGTCAGACTTTGCTACAGGTAACGATGCAAAAATTTATTGAAGTAGTAAAAGATACAAAGCTTTAATTTTCAATAATTCACATGCCCAACAGAACTGGTAAGATATGCTGGAAGTTGATGGACGTAGGTGGCTCCGGACCGTGCTTTGTGGCATAACTTGGGGGAAGCCTATGTTCAGCAGTGAATTTATGAAAGCCTGTAATGATTATGATGATGTTAGGCCAAAAGAAGCCCACTGCTGAACATAGGCCTCTGTCATAGATTGCCTCATAGTTGGAGTATTTCATATTAGATATTAGAAACAAAACTCATTATTTAACAGCAATTAAGAGACTTTGAAGTGTATGTGTATAGTGGTAAAATTAAAAAAGAAACTTCTAATCTATATTGAGTAAAAATTATTAAGTATTATGTTACATAGAGCAGCTTAATGCTGCTGTGTTTCGTATGGTGAGTGGAGAGAAACGGAGAGCGATTTCACTGGAAACGAGACATTCCATCTTAGTCCATAGGGGTGACAACGTATTTGCATTTTAATTCTATATATAGGATAGATGAAGATGTCTGTGGGCTACAGTAGCCACTTACCATAAAGTGAAATATGACCGTTTTCGTTAACAAGCAAGGGCAAGCTATTTTACGACAATTATTTGTGAGAGCATGGTTATTCGCCGATCGAGCCGACCTATTCATACTACAACCATAATATCGCTGCAGTATGGCTCTACCATGTATAAAATATATTTCTTATATCGGAGTAGTTCAGAAACTTCAATAGCGTGTTTTAGATAATATTTGTTATTTCAGACGGGCGTTTCTAGCCCGGTGGGCCGTTACGGCGTGGTGACCAGCGAGCGAGTGCGCCACAACCACACGTACAGTGCACCACTACCGCCCGCTGAGCCGAGACACGTCACGCGAGATAAACGAGGTGGGTCTTAATCATCATCATCATCATCATTAGTACAAAAATTTACTAACGTTTCTCTAGGTTGACAGAATTATTCCAGTATAAGCATGCTACTTGTGGTATATTTATATGTATATTAATTTGTGAATGTGTAAATATATACAAAAGGTAACAAAGTATGTTTGTATACAGTTCGACGGTTGACGGATGGTAGTACGTCTGACGCTGGGTCGGGAGGGTCGCAGCATCTTTCTCGAGATGAGAAACGCGCTAAGGCACTAGGTGAGTGTCGTTACACGCAAACAATCAAACACACCAGTCCATATTGTATATACATTGTAAATATATATATATTAACACGTTTTTATTAGTTTGAGCTGTTTGTATGTATGTATCTATGTATGAGTGTAATAGATTTTTACAATTAATTTTTCACCCACATCCAGGGGTCTGAATAATTTGAAATTTTGCAACTTAAGTTCAAATATATGAATAATGATATAACGTTTCTACGTGGTAGAGCCATGCTGCAGCTATATTATGGTTGTAACACGAATGGATCGGCTCGAACGGGGAAGGACCACGCTCTCACAGAAAACCAGCGTAAAATAGCAGCTTAACGCTGCTGTGTTTCGTATGGTGAGTGTAGAGAACCGGAGACCCTTTTTACTGGCAAAGAGGCATTCCATCGTAGTCCTCACGGGTGACAACGCATCTGCATCTTGAGTCTTTTTTGAGGATAGATGTAGATGTCTATGGGTCACAGTAACCACTTACCATCAGGTGGCTGTGTGGTCGTTTGTCACCCTATCCAATAAAAAAAAAACATGTTTCTGAAACTAATTGTATAAACATCATACTCATAGGTAATAATACTTTTATTCAAACTCGACCTTAACCAGGCCAAGAGAGCCAAGAAAACTATGCCATCGCCATCGTTTGTCAACCGATCCCATAAAAAAAAACGTTATTGCAGTTTTTGAAAACACGAGTAAATAAGGCTTCTACTATTATTTGAAATTATCCCAAATTGAATGTGATTTATGGGCAACAACTACGCGTACAGGCGCTCCTCTGTGTGCGATTCAATTCGCAACGTTTTTTTTGCCGACCGAGCGACCCTTGGGAATGTGTGCGTGCGTAGGCGTTAGATATTTATGAATGACAATAAGTTAAACTAATACATTACCACGCATTTTGAATTTAAAAGATATAAAGTACAGAATGTTTGATAGTTTTTAATTAACTTTTTTGCCTATATTATTTATTCTGAACCTTCTATACAAATTTGACCGGTTATTGTAAAATAACTTTGTAATACATGCAATAAAAACATACCTATAATCCAATTTATAATCTCCTTTTTTAAAGTTGCGTTAAAAGTAATCGAATTGATGACTTTTATTGGCAACACAGTCACAATATCAACTATGACATCAGTATATAGAATTTTTATATTAAGTTATCACGTGAACATCAAAAATTGAAGCACATGTGTGTATATCATGTGCATGTTGCCGTTAAGCTGAATGCAGGTAAAATAAATTAAACGTATACGCATCTTCTTTCCATACAAAACGCGTTTCCGATCCGATCACGTTTCCGGCTGTATGAGATAGGATTCCTTTGCCTACCCTGCACGTAAAAACATGTATTATTGTACATGTATAAGAAAAAGTTGTATTTTTACTTATACTTAGTGTTAGCTTACTCAATTGGCTTTATTTTCACCTCAAGTGATACTAGTTAAAATCAATAACACGGAATAGGTCCCCATAAAATCATTTTATTTATTATTATTAAGGATTTCTATAGTATATATCCCGTGTAGTGGCGGTGTAAGAATATCCACTACTCTAATAACTAAAATAATAAAAAACTGCGGTTGCCAACCCGCCTGCCAAGCGTGGCCACTATAGAAAAATCCTCCCTATGAGGCAATCTATGGGCGAGGTCTATGTTCAGCAGTGGGCTTTTTATAGGCTGTAATGAATGTATGAATGAATGAGTGAATGAATGAATGAATGGTATTCTTGTCTGGTTGGGATTGATAAATACCTATAGAATATATAATTTATTAACCTTAATAGTATAGCGTATAATATAAACCAAAAAAATAATTATATAATAAAATAAATAAAGCCTAACGAGATGGCATCCATGGGCAGGGGAGACCAAACGATCGAGGATTAAGGTGAAGGGAAGATTAATTTACGAGCCCCGCCTTCTGCATTTGAGCATTATTATTATTACTCATAAGCATCAACACAAAACGTTAATATACCTTAACATAGCAAAATATAAAATACATAAATAAATAAAAACCCCCACTAAATGTAAGCCCTCAGCAAGGTAGACCAAGCTGTTTAGGGGGAAGGGAAAGAAACCGGTGGATGATGCGAGCCGTATTATGATTATTATTATTACTAATAAATAAAATTCAAATAATTAAATATTTTATTCAACGTTAACCTCAACAATCTGTAACCATACTTTACCTTTTGTATACAAATGTTTACATTTGGTATAAATGATGTAAACATCGTCACCAGGCATACCGTTGGAGGTGCACGATATAATCAACCTACCGATGGACGAGTTCAACGAGCGCCTCTCCAAGCACGACCTCAGCGAGGCTCAGCTCTCACTCATCAGGGATATTCGGCGTCGGGGCAAGAATAAGGTAATTTTTGACAGTTATTTTTTTGTGTCTATGTGTTTATACTTGGTAGAGCCACGCTACAGTCATATTATGGTTGTTACACGAATGGGTAGGCTCAACTGGGGAAGGACTATGAAGGTTCTCACAGAATATCACCGTAGAATACTAATTTAACGCTTCTATATTTCGTATGGTGAGTGTAGAGAACCGGAGACCCTTTATACTGGAAGCGAGGCATTCCAGGGGTGATAACGAATCTACATTTTCCTTCTAAATTGAGGGTAAATATAGATAACTACGGGCCACACTACTTGCCGTGTAGTGGCGGTTAGGAATATCCACTACCCCATATCTTCCTGTGGGTGTCGTAAAAGGCGACAAAGGGAAACAGGCAGGAGATGGGCAGCAGCATCTTCCTGATAATAAACAAATTACAATAAAAAAACTGCGGTTGCCAATCCGCTTGCCAAGCGTGGCAACTATGGAAACCCGCCCCCCCCCCCCCCCCCAAATGATGAGAGTAACAAAGAGACGGCCCCCAGTCCCCGGCGGCCCCGCTATTCCTGGCTACGGTGGCGACCATGGTAACGGCGGGGCAGGGGGTGCTAAGAATCTCCGGTGGAGGTTCGGTTGCCACCTACGACGACTCGACCTGGCAACTTATAACGCACGCACCCTGAGGACTAACGAGAAGATCCTGGAGTTGGAAGAAGTGATAGACAAGTTGCGGTGGAATATCATAGGATTATCCGAGGTCCGAAGAGAGGGGGAGGACAAGGTAATCCTCGAATCCGGCAACTTGCTCTATCACCGGGAGGGCGACCGTCTGTCCCAAGGAGGTGTCGGATTTATCGTCCACTAGTCTCTTGTTAACAACGTTGTAAAGATTGGGAGTGTGTCGCCGAGGGTTGCATACCTTATACTCAGAATCACCAAACGGTATTCGCTGAAGGTCATACAGGTTTACGCACCAACCTCGGCACACCCCGATGAGGAGGTGGAGGAAATGAATGAGGATATCTCTAGAGCCATGCATTCCTCCAAAACCCACTATACGGTGTTAATGGGAGACTTCAACGCAAAACTAGGCACAAGAGAGAACGGTAATCTGAAAGTAGGGAAATTTAGAATAGGGCAACGGAACCCAAGGGGCCAGCAGCTGGCCGACTTTATGGAGAAAGAGGGACTCTTTATGATGAACTCTGTATTCCAGAAGCGGCCCACAGGATGTGGATCTGGTCCAGCCCCGACGGTTCGACAAAAAATGAGATTGACTTCATTATGACGACCAGACGAGAACTGTTCAGTGATATCTCAGTGATCGCGAGGGTGAAAACCGGCAGCGATCACCGAATGGTGAGAGGCACACTGAACCTAAACGTTAAGTTGGAGAGGTCTCGTCTAATGAAGTCAACGCTCCGTCCCCCTCGTGCTCTAATCCAAAATCCCGTAACCTTTCAGCTCTAGCTACGAAACCGCTTTCAGTGTCTAGAAGATTGCAATGCAGTGGACGATATGAATGACAAGCTCGTTGAAACTGTCCATGCGGTCGGAGCTAAGTTTTGCAAGACCCGCCGCAGAAGAACACAAAAACTCTCCGATCACACTCTTAATCTCATGGCTGTTAGACGGGAGATGAAGCTGCAGTCTTCAGTAGATTTGAAAGCATACAGGCAACTGAACAGACAGATCTCCAAATGCATTTTTTTTTGCGGATGGAAAATCATCAAATGACGCCTTTCGCTCTGGGTGGAGCGGAAGGGAGTGTCAGACTTTTACTGACTAAAAACCATCCGTGTTCCTTCAGTGCCCTTACGTTCCGGAGCCGCGGTATCTCTTTCGAACAGCCCGCAGCCCCGGCAGGCGTCGACCCTTGCGGGCCCCTTCACGCTGCTGACAGCTCTTTGAGGCGCGCGTGGAACAAAACGCGCCGTCGACACGGCCTGTTGTCGTTAGACGGACGGACGGCGAGCTACCCATTGCTCGCCGTCCACAGGCCCGCGCCTACAGTGGCCGGGGGCCACGACGTAGCCCCCGACACCCGGGGCGTCTCCCGCGGCGGCCGGGAAGGAAAGCTGCTGCTCTCTCCTTCTCCCGCTCCGCCACCTCCTACGCTAGCATCACTGCTTCGCAGAAGGTGGTGACGGCATCCCATTCCGTCTCGCTCCGGACCATGGCTTCGACCAGGGCCGGACGCGAGAGGTCGCCGCCGCCTATCGCCGCTACGAGGACACGGCGGTGCTCCGCCCAGGCAGGGCACACCTCCACGGTGTGCTCCACCGTGTCCTCCGATCCTCGCAGTGGGAGCACCCGGGCGTGTCCTCCCGCCCGATTCGGTGCAGGAACCTCCCGAACACACCGTGTCCGGTGAGGACCTGCGTCAGGCAGAAGGTGAGGACGCCGTGGCGTCTCTCAAGCCACTCCTCAAAGAGGGGTCTTATCGCCGCTATAGTGGCGTGCCCAGCACGGGGTTGCGACAGTCGCTCTCTCCATGTCGCCATGAGATCATGCCGGAAGTCTGTCCGCTGCACTACAACTTGCCGCGGCAGCGGGGTTTCCCCCCGGCATAGTGCCTCCGCGCGCCATTCGTGTAGGCGCGCGAGGACTATCGCCTCCAGATCCCATGGCGGCAATCCGGCAAGGAGGCACGCTGCCTCGCGGGAGATCGTGCGGTAGCCGCGAACCATTCTTACGGCAACCACCTTTTGGGGCGCGTTCAGGTGGTGGACGGCAAGCCGCGCCAAACCACGCGCCCACAACGGGGCCCCGTAAAGGGCCATGGACCGCACAATCCCCGCGTAGAGCCTCCGGCAGGAGGCGTTTGGCCCCCCCAGGTTCGGCAGGAGCCGCCTGAAGGCAGCCCCGGTCCGTTCCAGTTTGGGAGCCAAACGTCGGAAGTGCTCAACGAAGTTCCATCGGCCGTCGAGGACGAGTCCTAGGTACTTCAACGTCGACTCGACGCCGATGGATACCCCTCCTACCATCGCTGAGGATCCCGGTGGTGGCCTGTTCCGAGGACCATGGAAGTGCATGGCCTCGGACTTGTGCAGAGCCACCTCAAGACCCAGCTGCCGGATCCTCTCAACGACTATCGCAACCCCGCGTGTCATATTTTCCGCCGCCGCCTCGTACGACCCCCCCTGTGCCAGTACCAGCGTGTCGTCAGCGTAGCAAACTACGCTAACGCCGGTAGGGAGGTTGGCGCGCAGCACCCAGTCGTAACCGATGTTCCACAGGGGCGGTCCCAGAACCGAACCTTGTGGGACACCGCACGACATCTCTCGCCGGTTCCACTCACATCTCCAAATGCATGCGGCGGGACTTACGCAACTTTAATACTGCTCGTATTGAAGAAGCGATCGAGCGGAACCAGGGCTCCAAAGTCTTTGCTAGAGATCTGTCTGCCAGAAAGAGCCAACTGTCGAAGCTGAAGACCGAGTGTGGCAGCGTCGTTTCCGGGACACCTGTGATTTTGAGTGAGATTGAGAGGTTCTATGGGCAGTTGTACACGTCATCGTTGGAGCCACACGCAAGTGTGAGTAACGATCCAAGAGCGAGTCTCATCCGACACTATTCCGAAGATATCCCGGACGTCAGTCTGAGCGAGATTAGAATGGCTCTCCAGCACCTTAAAAACGTCAAGGCCCCAGGCGAGGATGGAATTACAGCGGAGCTTCTGAAAGCGGATGGAAAACCGGTACTTGAAGTCCTTCAGAAGCTCTTTAATTCCGTCCTCCATCGTGGCATTACACCGGAGGCGTGGAGCAGAAGTGCGATGGTCTTGTTCTTCAAGAAAGGCGACAACGCTCTCTTGAAGAACTACAGACCGATTTCCCTTCTGAGCCGCGTCTACGTGCTGTTTTCGAAAGTCATTACGAATCGTCTCGCGCGCAGACTTGACAACTTCCGGCCTCCCGAACAAGCCGGTTTCCGAAAAGGCTTTAGCACCATTGACTACATACATACCCTTCGGCAAATTGAACAGAAGTTCGAGGAGTACAATCTGCCACTGTGTCTGGCGTATGTGGACTATGAGAAAACCTTTGATTCCGTCGAAATTTGGGCGGTGTTGCAGTCTCTTCAGCGGTGCCAAATGGACTGTCGGTATATCGAAGTGTTGAAGTGCTTGTACAGTAGGGCTACGATGGCTATCCGAGTACAGAACCAGCGTACGAAACCAATCCAATTGCAGAGAGGTGTAAGGTAGGGTGACTTCATATCCCCGAAACTCTTCACCGCTGCATTGGAAGACGTTTTCAAGCTTCTGGACTGGAAAGGATACGGTATCAACATCAATGGCGAGTACATCACTCACCTTCGATTTGCCGACGATATAGTCCTTATGGCAGAATCGCTGGAGGACCTAAGGACTATGCTCATGATCGACATAGCCCAATGAATTAGTAAGCTGAAGTGGCAATGGGCCGGCCATTTAGCTTGAAGAACCGACAACCGATGGGGAAAAAAAGGTTCTCTAGTGGCAGCCTTGTACCGGCAGGCGTAGTGTAGGGCGTCCCCCCACTAGATGAAGTGACGACCTGATAAGATATGCAGAAAGTCGATGGATGCAGGTGGCTCAGGAACGTGCTTTGTGGCATTCCTTGGGGGAGGCCTATGTTTAGCAGTGGATTTGTGAAGGGCTGTTATGATGATGATGACGGGCCACACTTATTATCAGGTGGACTGTATGCTTGTTTGTCACTCTTATTTTATAAAAGAAAATATGTAACTATATGTCTAATAGACAACTTCCTGACTCTGGGTTTAATTCCTTACTTCGGAAAGCACATAAAGCCATTGGTTGTGTGCCTAATTTTTCTCCGGTCGTGTCGATTCACCGTTACATAGGGCCATGAGAGTGAGGGAATAGAGAGTGCATTTGTGCTTGCTCTTAGTCTTGAGTACTATAATGTGGTTCTGCACGGATGGCTGATCTCCGTTTAGGCTGGCTGCCGTGACCGAAATTTGGTCTGGATCACATTATTATATCTTGAACATAATTTTATTTTATTGTTTTTTTTTAAAGCTGTGCTCAAAGTGCCGTATTCTAATCCTTTAAAATCCGTACCGTACCGTAATCGAGGATAGATGTAGATGTTTATAGGTCACAGCAACTAATACCATCAGGTGAACTGTGTGCTCGTTTGTTACCCTATCCTATAAAAAAAACCTAATGAATATAATAATTATTCCTTTCCTTTGTGGGTCTTCGTCTGGGCCTATTTTTGCCGCCAAATTGCAGTGCTTGCACTGCTGTGTTCGGCGTAAAGGTTATAGAGAGAGAGAGTCAGAGGCTTTCTTTGCTTGAAGTTGTCTGCAGGTGTCCATAGCCCGCAGTGGCCACTTACAATCAGGTGGACTGTATGTTCCTTGTATTTTGTTCAGGTGGCGGCGCAGAACTGCCGCAAGCGCAAGCTGGACCAGATCACGTCGCTGGCGGACGAGGTGCGCTCGGTGCGCGACCGCAAGCTGCGCACGCAGCGCGACCACGGCGCGCTGCTGGCCGAGCGCCAGCGCCTCAAGGAGCGCTTCGCCGCCTTGTACCGACATGTTTTCCAGGTAAGCGCTGCCTCACCACTACTCGTCTAATAACATAAAAACACACACACGCACACACCCACATTATCCCTCAATTTACGCAATAACATTTTTTTTTAAATTGAAGTTTACTTTAGCAAGGAGTGATTCGGATTATAGAGACGTTCCGATTATCGATGCTCCTTTTTTATTCGATCGTACATTACTTTTTTATGTTTGTATATTTAGCGAGCTGTATTTCACTTTCTAATGCACATTAAACACAGAATCTCATTTACAAAATATAATATAAACGCTTTTTGTCTTGACATTGACATACACTCCACAACTATAAAAAGGGAAACTTTGATATACATAAAATTAAGAAGAAATCATTTGTAGGTAACATTTCAAAATTCTTTGGCGACAATCTCTACTCTATGCAAATGTTTGACCACAGTCTATTATGTCTTTGACATTTGTGCTATAAATGTCAACTTTCAAACGTTAGCTGTTTGCATTCTTCTATATAAACTTTAACTATGTCAAATTGCACTCACCTCCGTGGGCGCAATATAGTAAAAAAGGGGTACAAGGTTTTCTCTTTACGTATTAATATATCGGAAATGACAACAGGAGCTCCCACTTCTGATGTCGGAGAATTTTCAACAGAGGATCACAATTTTGATCTCTGAAATAAATCAGGATAGCGTTAATTGTTAAAAATAATAAAAGTGTGAGAGCGGATGTTCAACTTGCTCTCTTGCTTACGCAGTTTAATCATTATCAGTAATAAGACAACGTAACGCACTATACATTTAGTATAATGAAATTACAGTTCGACCACACCGTAACACGTCTCTGCCACAATCACACACCAGTGTAACGTGAAGTACGTAATTACATGATAACACCAAAATATGTAAAACAACAGCAACACTACTTATCTCAATGTAACACAGGGCAGCCTCTCAGCAACACCAATCCTCCTTGACTGCACTAGAAGAAATGCAACAACGAACAGAACTACGACACTATCTCAGCACTAGTAGAGTGACCACACTCGTTGAATGACTGAAGCGGACTCTCTCGCGCACGGCACCTACAGTGAACTTTATACTACAGACACAAGAGGGGGTTTCTCGATATACCCTCCATTCTACCTCGATCCAACCGGGTATTTTATAGACGCTCCGACAAATATATAAATGTAAAAATGGATGTTGATATTGATGAGTGACGGATAATCGTGTAATGGTAGTGTAAGAATATCCACTATCCCACATTGTCCCGTGGGTGTAGTATGAGACGACAGAGGGAAACAAACCAGGAAATGGACAGCAGCGTCGTCGGCTGCCAACCCGCCTGCCAAGCGTGGCAACTAAGGCAATTTATGCAGGAGGTATATATTCAGCGGTGGAATTTTATGGGCTGTGTAGCATACGCACCAGCTATGTTATGCCTACATCACGAATTGTCGGCTCCACCAGAATAGGACTACGTTCTCATAGAATACGAGTGTGAAACAGTAGCTTAATGCTGCTCGTATGGTGAGTGTAGATAATAACGACCCACTCTATCTTAGTTCTCACGGGTGACAACGCATCTGCATTTTGAGTCTGAATCGAGGATAGATGTAGATGTCTATGGGCCACAGCTTCCATTTATCGTCAGTTTCACTGTGTGCTCGCTTGTCATCCTCATTCTATAAATAAATCCTGGACCTTTGACACTGCTGCCTGTAGCTGGTTTTGGTATTTTACTCCCCTCGCAAGAGATTTTAAATTATGTAAAAAAATCAGATAAAGATAAGTCAGACTGTTTGTGTGTATGTTAATATATATCATGTGTAATTCTTAACTTTCCGTAGTACACAAATCGTCGCCTTAGTCAAAATTGAACTGAACATTGTAGTATCTCACTTATGTGCTTATATTGTTCCAGAACCTCCGTGATCCCGAAGGAAGGCCGCTTTCCTCCAACCAGTACTCACTTCAGCAAGCCGCCGACGGCAACGTGGTCCTCGTGCCAAAGATGCAGCAGCATCCCGATCACCCGATGAATCGCACCTCAGACGACGAGATGGACCGCAGGGCAAAGCACTACGAGCAATGATATACGCCTCTTCACGCGTTCCCAAGATGGTAGCGGGCTGATACGCGTTCAAAACCAATTATTGGCTGACGACAATATTACACGAAATAAAATCGCCTCAATAAATAACCAATTCCTTTGAGTTTACCAGATGTATACATTATACCGGATGTAAACGTTTACCCAACTTGTCTTTTAAGATGCATACTGTTTTATATGTTTACACGTGAATCTTTGGAAAAGGATAATTAGTAATAAATTGGAACATTTCGCTGCTTAAATATTATAACACTTTAAAATCATTTAAATGTAGGGATATTTTGTCGACTTTCACCACATTCTATACAGTATACATAATTAAAGACACCCAAACAGCCGTTTTAAAAAACAAATGAACACAAGTTACTTATTACCATCAAATAAAATTTCTATTTAGATATGATTAAACCATAGACGGTTCCGTGGCGCAGTGGCTTAGCAATGAGTTGTAGCGCTAAAACAAAAACAACAAGGACAAAGGAACAAGTATTTGTATGGCCTACAAATAATTTCTCTGGGTCTGGATGTTTGTGCTTGTGGAATTTATGTATGCAAACTGTCCCCACGGTACAGGAAAAATTCCTAATGTGGAGGTAACGTTAAAAAAAAAACAAAGAGACATAAATCCCAGTTAATGGTTACCCTATTCGTTGGATATTTACATTATTTTTGAAGGGAGTTTGAAGGGAGACCGAGATAAAACAGAGATTTTCACGTATTTTATTTTGTACAGCTGAATATCCAATTTTAAAAGTTATATTCACAGTTCTTCAAAACAAATGTATTATGAAATCAAAAAGGTGATGTGGAAAGAAATATGTGATAAAATGCGAAGATTCCATTTTTATTTAGTGTTTGCTTAGAGGTTGTTACTTTATTTGGTTTATAAAAAACTAAAACGTTTTGAAACTAACAAAATCAACGATATCTAACAAGTTATTATAATTTAAAACGACTGATAGCGAATTGTTTTTAAACTTAAACAGGTGTCTGTGACATCGTGCAATATATTATCTATATTATTCGAAACTTTTTTTAATCTGTACCATATTTTGTCTATAGTTTATTTATGTATAGTAAACTTAGGTTACTTTTTTTAAGAATTTTGAATTCTGTTGTACACATAATATACCAGGTTTATTTTTTTTAAATTTAATAACGCTTTTATATTTTGTTCAATAAAATAGTCTCTTTCAACACAAGTACAAAATTTTTACACTTACTTATGTAAAATATATTTAAAATATCAATAAATAAGTTAAAAGATTTGAAAATATATCTTTATAACAGTTCTAATTGCCTACATTTTTATATACAGGCCATAAATTTTGTATTGCTTTCCCCGCCATTAGAAAGTGACTCAATATGGGCCAGTATGTTCCAAGCAAACATAGACTCTATTACAGTGATGTAAAGTTCTATTTCGTAGTATAATAATTGTCTACTTGTGACCTTGTAAATGAGACATTTTATAAAAAAAAAGTATATAGAATTTGAAAGGTCAGCGTTTTTATTTTTTTTTTCTTTAGCGCTGATCTTTTAATGCCTATTAGTAAGGTAGAGTAATTTCACCGTTTTGGCAATAATATACTTTATAAAACTTTAAAGTATGTTTGTAGTCGCAAGATTTTTACAAAGATAAATCAAGATATTTATTAATACAATTCACATTATTGCTAAATACATTAAAATAATAAACACATGTATTTTGTGTTTGATAGCTGTATACGATTTGTATACATTGTATATTTTAATTTGTTTTTTTTTTTTAACACAGCACGCATCTGTACTGTATTATTTTTTTGCGGTTTCTGCGGTGCATTTTAGCTCATAATATAGAGAAGGCTTACGAGAAATATGAAACGGATAAAAAAATAAATATTTATATAATTTAAGGGACTTAAGTAAGTAGGCAACGGGTAATGCATTTCACTTAAGTTATTAAAAAAAAACTTAACGCGTAGTGTTTGCGGCTGTGGGATTTATTTTGTTTTACCGGCGATTTGCGTATTATTTTAGTAAATCACTAGCAGATTGAGAAACTACTACCGTACCTAGAACCTAGTGCTCGAATATCAACATGTCAACACGTATACCATTATAATATTTTGTATATATTTACATGGGGTATAAACTATTTAGTTCATGTATACAGTCAGTAATATTTAATATGCTTGTTACATGTTGATGGAATACCAATCGAATGCTTCTTAATTAAGTTAAAATAACTTAATTGCGATTTTGTTTACAATCTACTGCTTGCCTTATCTTCGCCGGTGAAAACCGTAGTTAACATTTTTATTATTTGTTTAATGTAACAGTTTGCATCGGCTGATCAATTAGTGATCTTATTTATTTAAAATAAGTATTTTAATTTAAAAAAAAAAACATTCGTTTTGACATTTTATTTGTTTTTCATGACTATCTTGAAATTAAATAGCTGAAAGCTATATAAATGTCTATATACCAAACGTAAATATGTGTTGTTTACAATTAGTATACAAATGAGATTGTAAACGTTCGGTATAATTTGTTACATACACAAAACCTAATTATTTTTTGGTCAGCTGTCGCATTTGTAAATTGAACAATTTTTTAAATGCAGTTTTTTAAACATTTGTGTTTAGAAAACGGCTGATAACTGTTGTAATATATTATTACTGTATAAGTTTTTTTTTTTACTTGTAACAAGCGAGTTAAGTGATAGGTAAGATAGAATAACCAGTATGTTGAATAAGTCTTAATATAAAATTTTGAAAGACCTTGTTTGTATTATTTGTCCGTCCTTGAGTAACTACCCTACAATCGGGGCCTGAGCTATCGTAGAAATTATTTAACAGCCACCACCGCGTGAGCGCCTCGTGGCTCCCGCATAGACTAGATTTTTCTGGTAACCACGCATACCACTCTTAGTTTTTTTTATTGCAGATTCTTAGAAAATTTTGTGGTTTGAATCCGGCATTTAATTTAATTAAATCAATGAGCTAGTGGCCCATTTAGAGAAGTTCCCAAGTAGTACAGTTGTGCTACCGCGGTCTCACAGAATACCAGCGGACCAGAATTGCAACTCAATGCTGCTGTGTTTCGTGACAGTGAGTGTAAATGTGTAGATAACGTGATTTAGGTGTTCGACGTCCAAATGTCAATGTTAACCTTATGTTAAATTACTTACCTTACATTGTAACCCCTAAAAATTAGATATTTAACAAAATAAAAACACTAATATAATTTTCTAAGATTATTTTTTTTTTAAATAAAAATGTGATTCCGGCCAGGATCGAACTGGCGGCCTTCTGCGTGTAAAGCAGATGTGATAACCACTACACCACGGAACCCGATGGAATAATGAACGAAAATTTAAAATAAATTACAAAGTAGGGCGTCCTTCACGATAATTTTTGAGCACGGCTTCTGACAAGTATTTGTATAAAATAAGATGTATAATAAGATAATTTCCGATCCAAGAGACCGTATTTCAGAAAGAGCTCCTGATGTAGAATCCTGGCTACTAGATTGTGCCTGTGCAAGTACCTACTCAGAGTTAGAAAGCGCCGACAAAATAGATGACATGCCTAAGTGATTCACCGGGACGGCGACAAGCTCGACGGACATCCACGACGCCATCCTTTAGGATGTATCTCAGATATTGTTCGTCGTAATAACCTGATCCTGTATGGCACAGACAAACCCTTCGGTTTCCCGTAAAAGATCGTTGAATCGTAGCCAGAGGAGGGAGGCGATCGTATCTACGTAAGATCTTGTAGAGCCTTGTTGAACCTCCCATGGAGCTCCTTCTCTTCCCATACAGTCTCCCGGTCGGAAATGCTCTGTACTGCCGGGTATAGCCCCTGCTTTTTGGCTAAGGATATAGGCGTGAGCCTTTTATCACAGGAAATGACGTTCGTGTACAATGGATCATCCGATCTCGTCAAGAAGTACTTATGGAGGCTGCACACTGCAAGTGTGCATGGTGAGGGCGCTCTAAAAGCCACGGGTCACCACGTTTCCGCGGCAAGTAAAGCCTCATAAATGTTTATTATTAAAATTGCTTTTTCGGGCTTTATGTTCAGCAAGTGTTAATGACATCTTCTAAATTAAAATTTCGGCCTATGGACTGTTTGGAAACAATTTCATTCATTCCAAGTTTGGCGACTTCAGTGTTGGTTAACGATGATATCTAATATTCGATAGAATATGTTCACTTTAAATAAGCTTTCAGGATCTTGGAGATCTTTCTGTGACGAGTTATAGTTTTTACGTGGTAGAGCCATGCTGCAGCTATATTAATAGTATAGTTGTAACACGAATGGGTCGGCTCGACCGGGGAAGGACCACGCTCTCACAGAATACCAGCTTAAAATAGCAGCTTAATGCTGCTGTGTTTCGTATGGTGAGTATAAAGAACCAGAGACTCTTTTTACTGGAAAAGAGGCATTCCATCTTAGTCCTCACGGCTGCACACGCAACGCCTCTACATTTCGATTCACAAACGAGGATAGATGTAGATGTCTATGGGTCACAGCAACCACTTACCATCAGGTGGACTGTGTGCTCACTTGTCACCCTTATCCTATAAAAAAGTTCAAGTCATGGGTGTAACTTATATACCGTTACCTCATTTGCAATAGTTGCCACGATTAGCAGGCGGGTCGGCAATCGCATTTTTTAATTTTTTATTTATTTTTACGAAGACACCAGTTGCTTGTTTGTTTACTTCTGTCGCCTCTTACGGCACCCACGGGATGATATGGGGTAGTGGATATTCTTACACCGCCAATACAAGGTCATTAATATGATTCTGTATTTTATATAATTACTGTAAATTTGAGTGCTGGAAGTAGGTTTAGGTTTAAAGAAACTTTATTCTCAATAAAGACATGTCACTCACTTGAAAACAATGTTAACACAATCATAAATTACACAAAGTTCGTCGTCATCAGTTACAAACTAGATATACCCATTCAATGCCTTCATTTCTCCAG